GCGGCAATCTTACGTCCATCAAGTCTCTTGAGACCATTTTACAGCAGCATGGGTTCACTTCCTGTCTCTGTGTGACATGTTGGTAATCCTTGCAAGATTTCAAACTTTATTATTATTATTATATCCTATATTGTGATCTGCAATGTGCGATCTTCCATGTTACGATTGAAATTGTTTTGGGGTGCCACTAATTGTTTGTATCACATTGTTCCATGGTTGTTAGTCTGTTTTGTGTTTTTCAGTCTTTTTCCTGTTTGCTTTGCAGCTTTAGTTGTTCCCTTTGAGATATTCTTAGGTTCAGAGATTCTTTCCTCAATGTGTCCAGTCTGCTAATAAGCCTATCACAACATTTTTCATTTCCATTACAGTATTTTTGATCTCTAGAATTTCTTTTTGGTTCTTATTTTAAAATTTCCATTACGCTGCTCACTTTGCCAGTCTGTTCTTGCATACTGTCTGCGTTATCCATGAGCACTCTTAGCATATTGACAGTAGTATCTTAAAATTCCTGGACTGATAATACAACATCCTGCATATCTGAGTCTGATTCTGACACTTGTTTTGTCTCTTAAAATTTTATTTTTTGCCTTTTGGAATGTCTTTATTTTTTTTTCTCATAACTGGACATGAGGTATTGAAAAAAGAAGTCCAGCACTGCTTTCCAAAGTGATTTCCACTCCTAGATTTCTACTTTGGTAAATTGTAATTCTCTATATTGAGAGAGATAGATGTGTTCTATGTCTGTCTCTAATGTTGAGAATAGTGGTTTGTCCTGGAATCAGGAACAAAATTGTATCCTTTGTGAGGGATCTAAGAAGAGTTTTTGATTTTTCTTTTTATTCAGCATTAGCTTCTTCACAGAATGACTTCCAAACTCCTTACATGCTGGATTGGAAATCTGGAGTACAAGCATTTTACTTGAAATATTTTTTATAAAAGTAGATGATATGTTTTATAAAACTGCTAATTTCTGGTAACATCTTTACCTTCCAAAGCTAGGTTTAAAATAAGTACTTCTCAACATTGGTTGTTTTGACTTTAAAATCAAACAAAAATTTAAAATTTTTTGAATGTTTGGCTACCTTTTAAAAATTTAAAACAAAAAGTTTTATTTTTAAAAAATATTGTTTTGTTTTGAAAAAAAAAAAAAAAAAAACAGACACAAAAAACCCTGTAGACACAATCTCTCAGAAGAGTGACAAGATACATGGCAGAAGAAATTTGTAATTTGTAATTTGATTGATCCAAGTACATAATAAACTTTATTTTGTTAATTCCTCTTTGTTATTTACATTCCCTGTCGGCTACTCGATTTCCAGTTTTCACATTCATCTAACTCTTTTTATATGGCTTGTTTACTTTGTTTTATTTGGTAGCTCACACTAATAAAAAATAGCACAAATAAAGGAAATAAATCTTACAATTTTAAGAGAATTTTGTTTTGCATAGTATTTGTAGCCCCTAATCGGTAAATTACATCATTTTCATGAAGTCTTTGTATTATGTAGTATTTTGGAAATAGAATTTGCATCTGTTCTTATTTTGTGAATTCTATTCTCAGATCAAGCAGGATATGAGCTGTTCTTAAATCAAAGTGAGTTAGTTGTCCATTCACTTAGAATATAAAACAGAAAGAAAGAATTAATAGATCTGTTTAAATTTTCTGTAGCTGATTTTTATTAATGATATTTTCCATTGATTGTTTCAAGATGTGTATCACTAGAAGTTTAATCAATTCAACAAGTATTTTCTTTGCAGGGCAAGGACTTAGCATGAAGAAATTTTTTTTAAGCAAGAAAAAATGTTTTAATATTGCTCAATATGATTTTGCAAGGTCCCTTAGCAAAAAAGGCATATAAAATATGATTTTCCATTTTTAGAAACAAAACAGTGATGTGATGCCATGATTCACTATAATATTCACTGTCTTATATTAAAGACCTTTCTGATGAATTTTTTCTACAAATATTGCTAAGAAAAACTTTACTTGTCCTTTGGGACTGAACTCATATGTTGATTTTATAGAGTTTATCTTGCTACCTGTTTTTGAAATTTCCTTTTATTCTGTTGTCTTGGTAGTTAGGAAGTTAAGAGTGAAATTTGAAAATCAACTACTGTCTTAGGGAGAATAATGATTCCCCAATGAAGTTTATGTCATAATTCTTGAAATCCATGAATACATTAGGTTATGGTCAAGGGAAATTAAAGCTCCAGATAGAATTAAAGTTGCAAATCAGTTGACTTAAAATAATGAGATTATCTAGATAGGCTCAGTGTAATCACAAGGGTACCTAAAAGTAAAAGAGGGAATAGGAAGAGAGTACCAGAAAGAGAGCAGTGTGATAACTTAGCCTGATATTGCCTGCTTGAAGATGGAGGAAGGGGCCATGAGCCAAGGAAAGAAGATGGCCTCTAAAAGGTAGAAAAAGCAAGAACATAGATTTTTGCCTAGAGCCTCCAGAAATTAATGAACTGCCAAAACTGTGATCTTAGCAAAGTGAGATATATACCAGACTTCTGATCCATAGACCTGTATGGTAATATATTTGTGTAATTTTGAGTCACTAAGTTTGTGGTAATTTGCTGCAGCAGCAAAATCACTGAAAGATTGTAAAGTAAGGAAAATGCCATCATGCTGTTGTTAGCCAAATAAATCTCTATGAAAACTTTAGCCAAGCTCTTCTCGGAGAAAAGGTAAAATGACTTGAAGAGAGGAAGAGATCTTCATGACAATCTATGAAGAAGTTACTCCACCTGGATAAAACATAATGGGGATTGACAACCAGGATGAAATAAGAGGTATGGTGATCACATGATGCATCATCCACAGGCAGACACCGTTGAGAGTAAAAGGGGACACTAGTAAAATTAAGCCAGGTAATAGGCATACCTGGCTGAACTTGGCAAGTGGAATTTGAAATCGAACTAGATGAGGAGACTAGTGTGAAGGAAGGAGAGCAATATGTTTCTTGGCCAGAGTGTGCACTTAATGAACACTGTGAGTGAGACTTAGGTGGCTTAAAAATACGAGTTTTAGAGCCAGATCATCTGGCTGGTTACTACCTGCCATAAGTTTCTCATCTGTAGAATGGAAATAATAGTTGCTATTTTATAGTGATATTGGGATGATTAAAAGGCACAATGCGCATGAAATTTTTGCATGGTGACTGGCTCAACGCAAGTGCTGAAGAAATGTCATTTCTTTCTTTTTTCTCTTTATTAACATTAATAATACTTACAAAGCGTGGTAAAGTGATATAATAAAAGCTAGCTGGTTGAGATACAAAACAAATAAACAAGATATCTTCCCTTAAATATAATTTCTCAACTTTATTCATTGAGGGCCTAACACATGCTAATTAGTATGCTAATCAAGGAGCACTTAGATGGATAAGATATAGTATGTCTTTCTTAACTAAATTTCACTTAGCATAAAATTTATATGTTACAGATTTTTCTAGCTTTTTTGAGGTATAACTGACAAGTAAAAATTGTATATATTTTAGGTTTAAAATATTTGATGTTTCAGATATTTTTAGAGAACTCAGCAATGGGAATGTTACAAAAAAGTGAGAACATTCTAGGCTGTCAGCCTGTGAGGAGCGTTTCCATGACTCTTCTGCAGACTGCTGTATGTGCGTTGTGGTGTCTGACTTGTGGTAGTTGCTCAATTGTTAAATGATTGAAGAAATAAAAGAATGTACTCAAGTTCAATATTCAGATCTTATAATTATATCTTTTTTTACTATTTTAAATACAGTTGACCCTTGAACAATGTGGAGGTTAAGGGCACTGACCCCCCAACATAGTTGCAAATCTGAATGTAACTTTTGACTTTCCAAAAATGTAACTGCTGGTAGCCTACTGTTGACCAAAAGCCTTACTGAAAACATAAGCAGTCACTTAACCCATGTTTTGTATATTTACATGTAAGATATATTGTATTTTTTTATTTTTATTTTTTTTTTGAGATGGAGGTTCGTTCTTGTTGCCCAGGCTCTAGTGCAATGGTGCGGTCTCGGCTCACTGCAACCTCTGCCTCCCAGGTTCAAGCGATTCTCCTGATTCAGCCTCCTGAGTAGCTGGGATTACAGGCATGTGCCACCACACCCGGGTAATTTTGTATTTTCAGTAGAGACGGGGTTTCTCCATGTTGGTCAGGCTGGTCTTCAACTGCCAACCTCAGGTGATCCGCCCTTCTTGGCCTCCCAAAGTGTTGGGATTACAGGCATGAGCCACCGTGCCTGGCCCATATATTGAAATCTTACAAGAAAACTAAAGAAAAGAAAATGTTAAGAAAATTATAAAAAAGAGAAAATATATTTACTACTTATCAAGTGGAGCTGGATCATCATAAAGGTCTTCAATCCTCATTGTCTTCATATTGAGTAGTCTAAAGAGGAGGAGGATGAGAAGGCATTGGTCTTGCTATCTCAGCTGTGGCAGACAAGGAATAACATCTACATATAAGTGGACTCACATTTCAAGCCCTTACTGCTCAAGGGTCAACTGTAATGTGCTCAACAGTCTGTCGTTAACATCTCATATAAGGGAGAGATAGCATTGATTTTGCACAAGTTGATTTAAGAGAATTAAATCAACTAAAAATACTATTACTAAAAGGCTCTTATCTTACAGGAGAAATCATTTCATTTATCTATTCTGCTCACAAATATCAGAAAACATAATATTGATTACTTGTGAACATTATTTATAATCATTATAAAAGAACATAAAATTAAGGACTTCAAAATATTGCAAAAAGAGATTTCGCTGTTAATTTAAAGAAGCAAGACTTCAACCTCAGACCTGATTTTGTGTCTTGGAGATGTTTAGAGATATATAGTAACTCATAAGGAGCCAATTACTTTTATAACATTTTAATCCTTACCATTGATATTAAATATAGGCCAGTAATGATACAATTACCTTCTCATTTTAAAAAATGATTTAATCAAAATTCTTAACTACTTATTACTGGAATGATTTTTTTGTCTTGTCTGATATTACTTCAGGATAATATATTTTCTGAGGTTTTGGTTTATATGACACAATTCTTAACAATCATTAAATAATTAAAGGAGAGTAATAGGAGATGAAGTCAGAGAGGTAGAAACCAGATCATTAGAGGCTTATGGAAATTTTAAGAACTTTGGCATTTATTCTGAAAAAAATGAGGCATAACTGGAGACTTTTAGTAAAGGAATGATAGAAACTTACTTGAGTTTTAGAAAGATCATTCTGGCTTCTGTGTTGGTTGGAGGGCAAGGTCTAAAATGAAATGAATGAGGTCAGTGGTTATGACTTAAAAGGGATAGAAGTGGTGAAGATGATAATAAAAGATCTTATTTTAGACATATTTTAAGGTAAAACTTGCATTTTGAGGGAAAGAGTACCTGTGAAGTGTAAAAGAGAAGTCAGACATAATTCCAAGGTGTTTGGACTAAGCAATTGGATAGATGGAATTGCCATTTACTAACTGAAATAGTTTTTTTCAGGGGTGGGGAGATATTCAAGAGTTCAAGTTTGAGATACCTACAAAATATTCAAGTGGAAATGGAGATAGATGTATTAATACGGAGTTTAAGAGACAGATTAGAATTAAAAATATGTTTACAAGTCATTAAGATGTAGATGTATTTAGACCCATGGTGTTGAAAGAAGTCACTAATGTAAATGTAACTGTAGAAGGGAGGCAGTTACTAGAGAGGAATTTAGGGTTAAGAAAAGAATTTTATTTTTGATTAGTATTCTGATTAGTATAATCCTGTAAAAAGAAAAATACATTGATTATATAATAGTATTTCAATTCCTGGATTAATATGAGAGTGGATCTAGTTCACAAAGAGAAGTCTGAGCATTATGTAGGATCAATATATTTTGGCTATTATATGTCAACAGCAACATTTAGTATTTTTTGTCTTTTTAAATTTCAGAAATTCTTTTGGATGTATAGTGGAATCTAATTTTTCTTTTAATATGCATTTCTCTGATGTTTACTGAGGTTGAACACTTTTTCATAGTATGTTAATTGTCTATTTGATTTTTTTTTTTTTTTTCTGATAAATCTGTTTACAAGAACTTAAGGAAAAAGAATGGGAAAAATAAAAGAAAGCACCAGAGACTATGGGACAATGTCAGAGGATCTAACATACATGTAACTGAAGTTCCAGAAGTTAAGATAAATGATAACTGAATTAATAGATCACATAATGGCTGAAAACTTTCCAAAAGTTTTGGAACATATCAATCCACATATTCAAGAAATTCAGTGAATCTGAAGAAAAATAAATCATACTTGGTGACATCATTGTCAGACTTCTAAAGATGAAAGAGAAAGTAGAAAAGAGAAATATGAGATTCAGAGAGAAAAGAAGATATTACCTTCAGTGGAAAAATAATTGGTGTTTACTTCTCATCAGAGACAATGGAATTATATCATAAAATGTACATCAGATAGGCTATTTGTTGAGGTTCTGAAGGACACTTTTATTCATAATCAAATATGACAATAGAGCATTGCCCAACAATTTCTGCAGCCAGCAGTCCAGAAAGCCAAATCACACTCTCTACAACAGCTGGTCCACAACAAAAAGGACGTCATCAGTGACTGCCAGCTTCCCTAGTTTACTGATTTCTGACTCAGCACCAAGTAGAGGACAAAATATACGATTTCTAAACAATCGCGTGAGATGCCTCACTTTGAGTCACTCTAACTCCAGCTTTCCCATGCCAACAACCTTGAGTCAAAGTGCGATGATCCCTGACTTACAATGGTTCTACTTTCTGATTTTTTGACTTTACAAAGTGTTTATTGGGATATTAAATGCATTTTTGCCTTGCCCGACTTTCAAGTTACAATGAATTTCTCTGGACATAACGTCATTGTAAGTTGAGGAGCATCTGTATACCTGAAGCCCTCCTTTTTCTCACTACAGAGTTTTCCTACTCCTTGCCTGTCTTTGACTTTGTGCCAAATGCAAGTTGTATTAGTTCCCTATTGTGACTGTAACAAATTACCACAAATTTAGCAGCTTAAAGTGACACAAATTTATTATCTTGCAGTTCTGGAGATCGGAAGTCTGAATGCATTTTACAAGGCTAAAATCAAGGGCCTAGCAGAGCAGCATTTCTACTCGAGCCCCTAGAGAAGATCCATTCTTTGTCTTTACCAGCTTCTCTAGGCTGTCCACATTCCTTGAGACTTGGCTGCATCACTCTGACCTCTGCTTCTGTTTTCCTGTCTCTTTTGACTGTGATTGTCTTGACTCTCTTATAAGGATCATCGTGATTACAATGGGCCTACCTGTATTATCCAGGGTAATTCCTCATCTCAAGATCCTTAAAAGTGAATCACATCTGGGAAAGTCCCTTTTTCCGTAACATAGATGCGTAAGATATCTCGTATAGATATGTAAGATAGCATACTCACAGGTTCCGGGGATTAGGACATGGACATCTTTGGGGTGTAATTATTTGACTCGAGCACAAAAATAATAGTAGCTGACTCTCTTGCTATATCAAACTCTGAAAAAATCCTCTGTTCTTGTTTAGAAGTTGCTGTTTATTTCCACAGTGAAAATGGAATTTCCATGTTACGTTGAGTGTCCAGGGCAAAGGGTGCTAAAAGAACTACAGTAGCAGAAAAGTCACTGCCCTTTACAGATGAAGTTAGAACATATAGAAGGTATACTAAGTCAGTTTCATAATGTCCCTTTGAGTAGCTGTGTCAACACACTGCAAGGGGCAGGTCTGCCCACTTAGTCCTGAGCCTTCACCACAGAAGTAAAGGAGCACACAAAAGGAGAGCTGACCCTGATGTCTGGAAAGGTGTAAATAATGGACAGCACAGAAGAATTACTTATCAAAGTAAGAACCACACAGATGTATTTTCTGTTTTTCCTTTGACAATAAGTTGTCATAAAATTATTTATTTAGTTTGACTATCCAACTCTATTGGTAATGGTCTAGTGTCAGACACAAATCCACACCCACAAACACACAGTGTCAATTATTACATTATCCATGGTAGTTCGGTTCTATAAAGCTGTCATGAGCATTTAATTAGCAAATATGAAACCACTGCCCTTAGGAGAAATAGAAGGTTTGATGCCTGTGAGTCTCTGATCATATTTTCATCAGCCAATCAATGCATAACCTTGTTTTATGTGTTATTCTGTTTAAAGCACCTTATGTTTTATATATATATATGTATATATATTTCTTAAAAATAATTGATTGAACACTCTTTGAATGATTTAGAGCCGGTGGCTTTGAAGGTCATTTGTGTTTATACAGGTTCCTTTGCCCAAGTCTATGTAAAATAAGCCAGTCACAATTGCATTAAAATCCTGCTCTTCCCCATGACCCTTTTCCTGTATAACACTTAGCAGATATTTTCAACATTCTTTTGCTGCCTCCTGAACTGAACAGGCTGCTTGCCTGCAAGTTTAGCATTTTTCACGCCATATCACCTTTTGAAATGTGTGAGGCAGACAGCACTAGCTGAGAAGGATTTAACGTTTTCCTGACCCTGGGTAACATTATTGTAATTTTCTTTGACTTTGAGCCTTACAATAGTGCTGTCCACTATGGTTTTTTTCTAATCAGTTGTCATCTCATGAATTCACAAATTTAGCCATTTTTTCCCAACTTTTCCATAGCTTCATTATATGCTATAAACGTTACTTCAGCAGTTTCTGGAATGGTCTTGTGTACAAATCAGCAAATTTCCTCTTCCTTTTTCTGGATATACTGTTTGTTGATTCATTAGCATTTAACTCACAGTCAATAGCACTATAATTCATGCTTGAATGAAGCTTAACTAACAAATATTTTCTCTGTAAGGTCCGTCATAGTCTTCTTGTGCTTAGGTAAGATAGCACTTCCACACCATGTTGGAGGCCATTTAAAACAGCAAAATCACCAACAATAAGTACAGAAATGTAAAAAATGTGGTACTAAATAGATCCTGAATCAGACACATGTTTACAGTATGAAAACTGAAACAACAAGGCAGAGTGTTGTCTTGTTCGACGTCAGGAACCTGCAGCTGTCAGCCAACTCAAATATTTTGCCCCTCTGCAAATGCCTTTGTAAGTGCCAAGAGTATTGGCTTTGGTTACAGATAAATTTTGTCACATAGACAAATTTGAAAATGCAGAATCTGCACATAATGAGGATTGGCTTGTGTGTGTGTATTTCTAAATTACTGTTAAAATTTTCATGTAAATCTACTCATAGTGTCATTGAGGTCAAAATATGTGATTATTTATAAATTCCTAAGAAAATGATTTCTACCTCTCTATCTCATTAGTAAGTATAACAGACAAAAGCCCCTGAACTCATGGAGGTTGCATTTGGTAGCATGTTAGGGATTGGCACGTTGTATGAAACTTACTGTGCCTGCATATGGCTGTATAAATTTTAATTGTAATACTTCCTGCAATATTTTACATTTCATTTGTCTTACCTTTCTAAATTTCAACATCATCCTTTCTTGCTCTGCCTCTGTAAAGCATGCGCCTTGCAGCTAACTACATACAGTTTGAAGATCTAATCAACGTTAGACCTGTTGATAGCAGAGATTCGAGTTCCTGAAGATTGGCATGCTGCTGAGAAGTGGCCTGCTGTTTCCTTTCTTAGGGACTCTAGTTTGCTTTTAACTTTGTGCAGAGTCCACTGCTGACAAGACGGTTAATAAAAGTGATATCAGGCACTGTGTGGTATCTGAAAAAAATTAATGAAAAAATGTATGCTGAGAAAGGTTCTATTAAGTAGGTCGGCAGTCAGCTTTCCTAACTGTCAGCCACTGTTCTTAGGAGCAACTGGTTATTTATTATTATTACTTATTACACATGTACTATTTTTTTCTGGGGCCAAACCCATCCAGCATCTTTTGTTGAAAACACTATCTTTTTTTCACTAAATGGCCTTTGATTTTGCCAAAAATCAATTATTTGGATACATTTGAATTTATTTCTAGAATTTCTTTTCTATTTAACTAATTTATTTGTCTATCTTAAAATCATTGTCTTGATAACCGTAGCTTTATAATGAGTTTCGAAGAAAGGTAGTGCAACTCTTGAAAACTTTTTGTTCTTTTCCAAAGTCGTTTTGGCTATTTGCTGGTCCTTTCTATTTCTGTGTCAATTTTAGAATTGGCTTGTTAATTTCTACAAAAAAACAAACAAAAAAACAAACAAAAAAAACCCTGTAAAGATTGTGATCTGGATTTGCTTTAAGTCTGTAGCTCAATTTGGAGGAAAGTA